TATCACTCTAAAGTTATTTTGTTGCGGGGGGGGGGGGGCGTGGTTCTTTGGGTTGTGTTTTGTGCGGTGGGCTGTTTTTTTTTTTTGTGCGGTGGGGTTTTTAGTCTATTCAGTTCGTATTCCCCCACTTCTCCGTGGTCAGCTGATTACTGTAATTTAGGTATTTGAGCATCAGGAGAAGTCTGCAGGAAGCTTCATAGGGTGTTTCAGAAAAAAAATACACAGGAAGTAATCCAAGATAGATGCAAGAAATGATCATAATCTTTATGCTATAAGATGTAGGTATAAACGCATATATTCATAAATTACATATATTTTCCCCTCTACTCCATTCTTGCTAGATCAAATTTGTAGTACTGCATTCAGCTGTGGGGCCTTCAGCACTACGAAGACAGGCCGAGAGAGTTGGCATTGTTAAGGCTGGATAAAAGAAAGCTCTGGGGAGACCTTAGAGCAGCTTCTAGTATGTAAAGGGGCGAACAAGAAAGCTGGAGAGGGACTTCTTACAAGGACATGTAGTCACAGGACAAGGAGCAATATCTTCAAATTGAAAGAGAAGAGATTTAGCTTAAATATTAGGGGAAAAAAATGTTCACTATGACGGTGGTGAGACACTGGCAGAGGTTGCCCAGAAAAGCTGCTGCTGCGCCATCCCTGGCAGCATTCAAGGCCAGGTTGGACAGGACGTGGAGGAATCTGATCCAGTGGAAGGTGTCTCTGCCTATGGCAGGGGGCTGGAACTGGAAGAACTTTAAGGTCTCTTCCACCCCAAACTGTTCTAGGATTCTATAATATATAGACATGTATTCTATATGTTCTAAAAGAACATATACATGATTTTTCTTCACTCGCAAATTCTAATTCTTCTCAGTATCTGTTCACCTTTTTTTCTATTGCAGTCCTCTCTGCTCAGCATCACCTGGCTTTCTCCACATGGCTGTATTTTACGTGGTGCCAACAACGTGACAAATAAAATGAAAAAAATCTAGTTCAACTAGATGACTGTTGTAGCTCCCAACTAAAATTCTCTATTCATCTCTTTGTGCATCACCACTTGCAGAGTAAGGAGTATCAATCTTATAAAGTTGAAAGCAGAATTGCCCCTGGCAGAATATCACAGACTGTGCTTATAGGTCTGATTTGAAAGGAATTATATTATTATGATTTAACAATTAACTGTTTGTCTCTAACACTGCAGTAGGCTCCACCCTGGTTCTAATTGTTGTTATACATTGGCAGTGTATTAGTAACTGAAATTAAGTTTGTTTCTAGGCACCACCTTGAGTTTAGCAAAGGCAAACGGCTAAAACTTCAGACTTGTTACAACTGTAACTAAAGTAAGAGGGAGTTCACAGAACTCCCACATAACAAAAGAAAAAAAAGAACATACTGGAGCAGCCAAACATCTGCTTATAATGCAGAGAGGCTGTGTAAGGAGGCCTCACTGTTACCAGACTCCAAATCTGCTCTCAAAAGAGAATGAGAAAATGATTCAACATAAATGATGACTAGGTAATAGCTTGTCTTTTTTTCCCAGGTCTTTTATCAGTGCTGCCTAGTAGAATAGCTAAGAAGGACTGGGGTAGGATCTCAGTGTTAACAAGGTGGTTAAAAGAAAGACAAAACTCCTTTTTTTGTTATTTTCTGGTTAACATTAAACATGTTCTTGGACAACTAAAACAGTGAAAAATCAAGGTTTGAGATTATGCTTTTCTTATCTGACTTTTAATAGACACAGAAGTTGTATGGCCTGTTGGAAGGTTTTCTTCAGTCCCCTGGCTGTAAATGAAAAGCCTCTTCTCACACCATGCTGCCTTTCAAGAGAAGAAGAAATCTCAATCATGCTGTAGTATAAAGCTTCAATTAAAAAAGCCAATATTTTCTTTCTGTATCATTTACCTTTCTTTCATTCTATTTCATTTCAAACTCAGAAAAGTTTTTAATTCACATGCAAATAACCTGATGTGAAATCTTAAAGAAACCCTGACCCAACCATAACAATATACATTCTATTTCAAAGACACAAAATTAAAAAGACCAGCTCCTCTCTTAACTGGAGACTGCACAGCTATTCCACTCCTTACTTGGTAACACAGGTGGGGAGAAGCTGGTAAGGTGTTTCCCAAAATAACAGGGGAAACAACAGCTACTCTCCATTAATGAATCTGAGGCCCAAGTTTTTAACTATCGATTTTAAGGCTCAGGCTCTTGTTAGACTGGTCACTCCTATGTATGCAATAGTAACAATCTGAGCAAAAGTAGGTCTTTATAAGGGAGAATGTAAGCTACCTAAATATATCCTGCAAGCATCCTAGAAATCTGACTGCAGAAATCATAGAATGGTTTTGGTTTCCACTAAAAGAACATACAGGATTTTAGAGCGGCTTAGGTTGGAAAGGGCCTTGCAGATAATCCAATTCCAGAGACACCTTCCACTAAAGTGAAACTAAGAACTCTGCATGTTTTCCGACTGCATAAAATCTAGACACTACTATCTGAGGAAGTTTAACAACAAATATGTACGTGCCTTATTGCCTTATTGGAAAAAACAATTTTCACTCCAAGATTTTATAAATCTCTTGCAAAAAACATTTTCCTCCCAATCACCACCACTCCCCCTCTTCCTCTAGGAAACATATAACCTTATTTTTCCTCAGTCATGTCCCTACTTTGCACCTCCCTTAGAGCTGTTGTGTCCAGTCAGGGACATAAACATCCCAGCCAGAAACCAGATATTCTCTGCTCACTATCCTTAAACAAATATAGGCCTCAGCCTGTCCACTCCAGCTTCAGTGTCTCCATATCTACTGGTCTTCATAAAGTGCCTGTCACTCCCCTTCAGTTTTTGCAAAACACCCCAAGACATTGCAATCTTGTGGGCTTTACAAAAGATGATTGTATAGACAAACATTTAAGCAATAAATAAGAAAGAAGGAAAAGAAACAAACTAACCACACACAAAAAAAACATCCAAATCAAAATTCCCCCCCAAAACCAAACAAGAAAACCCCAACCAAAAAAAAAACCCCAAAAATATCCTCCCCCCGGCCGCCCAAAATGAAAAAACAAGCCATAAAATATTACAGACCAGATAAACGTTGACTTACGCTAAAGCACCTTTTTTAAAAAGCAGTGCTACAGCTTCTTTCAGTGTTTTTGGAGTGGCTCTTAAAAGAGCCTTTGGGTCAGTATCAGCTGCTTGGTGTCAGCTGAAGGCCAGAGGGGCTGCGGCAGAAAGCTCAGGCGCGCTCGCCGCGGATACGCCGCGCCAGCTGGATATCCTTGGGCATGATAGTGACGCGCTTGGCGTGGATGGCACACAGGTTGGTGTCCTCGAAAAGCCCCACCAGGTAGGCCTCGCTCGCCTCCTGCAGCGCCATCACGGCCGAGCTCTGGAAGCGCAGGTCGGTCTTGAAGTCCTGCGCGATCTCGCGCACCAGGCGCTGGAAGGGCAGCTTGCGGATCAGCAGCTCCGTCGACTTCTGGTAGCGCCGGATCTCGCGCAGCGCCACCGTGCCGGGACGGTACCGGTGCGGCTTCTTCACGCCGCCCGTGGCGGGCGCGCTCTTACGGGCCGCCTTGGTAGCCAGCTGCTTGCGGGGCGCCTTCCCGCCGGTTGATTTGCGCGCAGTCTGCTTCGTACGAGCCATAACACCTTCTCTCCGACCTCCCCTGTAGAACAAGCACAAATGAAGAAAACAGCCCCCCAATGCCGACATTTATAGACCTATCCCGTCTTTGATTGGACGCCTGGAAGCTCGATTTCATTGGCTACTGTGTAATCCTAGCCTGGGCCCAAGGAAGCCGAGTTAGTTCAGTGCTACCCGCACAGCCATTCAGCTGCACCCTCAGCACGATTCCACTCAGAGTCCAGACTCCCTCGGTGGGAGTCCAAAGCTTTCGGGGGGCAGGTACTGCAGGCACAGAGGTCTCATGCCTTCTGCTTTTCGGGCTTTCTCTCTCCGCCAGGTTCCGGGTAGGTTAAAATCCATATCGACGCTCAAATTCAGGATTTGCCCATAATAGTGCTTTTTTTTTTTTTGTAATGCAGGGCTGTAGCAAGTGTGTAATGGCCTGTAACAATCGAGATGCAACTTTTAAGCTACTTTTTTTGTTGGTGTATTTTCTCAAGGAAATTCGGCAGGAGATATCTTAGGTAAAATTGTGATTTTGACAACACTTAGAAAACTTATTTGGGAAATTGAGGCCTTTACAAGGGAATACAGACTTAGGGTATTATTTAATTTGCCTCTACTCTTTAAGGCTGCAAGAAAACCGGAAGTGACCATGAATATTTATTGATCATAATTTTTTGTGGATCACAAACATTTGGTCAATGACAGCAGCGGATTATATATGAACATAAAATCTGGTTTTCTTCAGCTTTTGTTTGTTTGCTTTTCCACCAGCGATGAAGGAAATAGAACACTAATACTTTAGTAACACAAACTGGATGAGAGCATTTTTTGGGTCATGAGAATGATAAAAGCTCCTGCACGGGACTTTTTACTTATTTTATTGAAATGCATTGTCGAGGACATAATTTTTGTTCAAGGTTCACCCCCCACCCCCAAATAATTTTGAAAATTTCGGTTTACTCCTGAAATAGCTTTAAAGAAATCAGTGACAAGAAACTAAAGACAGGTTATAATAAAAAATCATTTATTTGAATCATCAGAAAGTAAAGGTTCATCTTGGAGCAACTTTCATGTTTATTCCCCAGGTGATAAATTGTTTTCCCCTTCTTCCTTGCAGTGATTATCTACTTTCAATTAAAAGAAAATTTTAAAGTACAACACACTGAGCAATATTCCAACTAATTCAATATTCAAGCATATTGAGCTTTGATTACAAAAGGCACTTAGAAGTGATTATTCTTGGGGTATAACATCCATAATGGAATGTAACAGTAAAGCAAATAAACCTCCTCACACAACCAAGACAACTTTGCCAGGAACAGCAAAATTAGATGACAAAGCCATACCAAACCTACCAAATGCTTCTGATTATCTCTTCACGGAAAACAGTGTCACAATCCTTCTCACGAAAACATGGGGGGCTCTTAAAAGAGCTTTTGAACTCGGTTCGTAAAATGTTCTGGAAACGGAAGGCTTTAACCGCCAAAGCCATAGAGGGTGCGACCCTGGCGCTTCAAAGCATACACCACGTTCATCGCGGTCACCGTCTTCCTCTTGGCGTGCTCCGTGTAGGTGACAGCGTCACGGATCACGTTCTCCAGAAAGACTTTCAGTACGCCGCGCGTCTCCTCGTAGATGAACCCCGAAATGCGCTTCACACCGCCACGCCGAGCCAGGCGCCGGATGGCCGGCTTAGTGATGCCCTGGATGTTGTCACGCAGCACTTTCCGGTGGCGCTTAGCACCACCCTTGCCGAGCCCCTTCCCGCCTTTGCCTCTGCCAGACATACTCACCGCAGACCCTGCTACCAGATAGAGGAAGCAGTTGTGAGAGCCGCCTGCCGCCTGTGCTGAGATCCGACCTGGTTGAAAACTGCGGTGAGGAGGAGCGGAGCCTGGAGCTCCCAAGATTTCCCCCCTCTCCCCATCGCGCACCGTACTGGCCGAAAAAGGCGGGCTTCCCGTGAGCTCCCCTTCTTGCTGTAGAAGTACTTCTGTGTTTCTGCTCTTTTTCGGTACACCCGTTTGTTTTTTTCGATAGAGAGAAAGCAAAGACGTTGGGTCTCTGTCTAATAGTTTACATGAGCGTTTTTTTGGTGTGGATAGTTGTTTTTTTGGTCTGTGTTTTTGGTGGTTTTTTTGTAAACTGTTGGTGATCATAATAATTTCAATAAATTACTCTTTGATTTTTCACTGTGATTGTTTGTTTTGGGTCTTTTTTTGTTTGTTTGTTTTTCTTTTTGTTTGAGATATTTTTGTTGTTGATTTAGGTTGGATTTGGTTTGGTTTTGGTTTTGTTTTTTTTTTTTAAAAATGGGTATGTTATGTATTGCAGTTTCACCTGGTTGCATCATTTCTCGTGTGTGACTTTAAAACTTTAAACTTTTTTTAAAATTATTTTTAATGAAGCATCTTGCAGCAAAATCCGTCCAATTGTCTTTCTGCAAAATTCTATCCTTTCTAAATCTTGTTCTCACTTCCATTTCCCTCCCTTTCTGAATTTTTTCTCAAGTAGAGTTTAGGTGTTAAGGTACACTAATGGGGAGTTTAACCGTTACGTGCTCTACTTTAATTCTTTTTAAGGTAAACTGGTTCTTTTGGAGTAATACTTTTACTGCACTTTCCATTCTTGTGGTGGTGGACACAGAGTAGCTTTTTTAGTCACTAAAAAATTAAATATGTAAAAAGAAAGGCGGTTTTGTCATTCGGTGGGAAGGTATTAGACTCTGGGTTTGCTTCTTGGGGGATAAAAGTCTTTTGAGGTAGTACTGTTGAAAACAAGAAACAGTACTTAATAAAAAATCATTCGATAGCTGGCTTTCGACCTGAAATGATCGGGGTGAAAAGTTTCCAATACTTTTGCTGCCCCCTCATGGACGTTGGTGGTGGCTTTTTTGTTTCCTTCTTTTTTTCTTTTTTTTTTTTTCTTTTTTTTTTCTTTTTTTTTTTTGGGGGGGGGGGGGGGTGGCGTTTGAAGCTGAGCTGCTTTATGTTATGTGTCCTTCCACAAAGATACAACATAAGATTAATCAACAATCAATCAATACCTTGTCATAGGTCACAGATGCATACTGCATCTGCTAGCAGAGCTATCACTGTTCCAGTGGCCCTTTATTGGCAAGAGAAAATAATGTGGCCTAGAATGTTGCTCATGCACAGTCTTTTCAGCATAGGCCCAATGAAAATCCACTGGGGCAAAACAAGCACCAGGACTGAAGGAGACGTCCTAAAGGCTCAAACCAGCACAAATGTCCTGTTCCACATGGAACTTGACAGTATCCTAGATTGGGCTATGGCGAGAATTCTGGAGTACAGTGGGGATGCGAAGGCTAAGTTCATGGTGTTCCCTTTCCTAAGGCCACTTTGCTCCTTCGGGGGCGTGGGGGGGAAGTTCAGGGACCATAACTGTACTGCTGTGCAAGACCAGGCTTCTGTGAGAAGCTGTGCACTCTGTAGTCAGGTCCTCTGTTATTTACAGGAGATTTCAAGAGTAAAGTAGCTGTATCCTCACCAGGATGTTGCTAACAGGGTAGTTTAGCACCACCTGCTGCAGGGCTCTATGAACCCACCCTGCTGTGAAAATCCAGTTCTTCAGTCTGTTCAATCCTTGATAATTTGACCATATTACAGGCCCCACTGGAAGTTATTACAGTTTGCAGATCCCTGCTATAAGGTTAATGGCCAATCCTGAGCTTCCCCAAATCACCTCCCCATTCAGTCCCTGATAAGTTGTGCCACTCTGGAATGCTGAGGTTTTGTTTCTGCTTTTAACTTTATTTATTATTTTCCATGGGATAAAAAAAAAGTTACAGCTTCATACTATAACCCTGCTCCATACTGAGCTACTTCTGCCCAGGAATCAGTGGCTACATATATTTCCCCTGTCTCTTTTTGCCTATCTCCATGCATCTTCATGTTGGAACCCATTTGGAAAGGCTTTTTTTAAAAAAACTAAGAAGATAAATACTTGTTCGTAACACTGTTTTTCTACTCCCGACAGAAATTCATCTAATAAAATGAAGCAAGGTTGGAGCCTATTTCCCTGTCTTCTTCCCTCCTAGCTGATTCCAAATTATACACCAAATTTCATCTGGTCTACTAGATCTGTCTTTTAAAATTAAACTGTGCCTTGATATGGAAACTCAATGTCTGGAAAGTTGCTGAATTTCATAGAGTCATTTGCACTGACAGGGATGTTCAAAGATTGTGTAGACTAACTGTGAGTAGGGACATCTTTCACTAGATCAAGTGAAAGCCTCATCCAACCTAATTTTGAACATTTCCATGGACAAGGCATCCACAGCTTCCCTGGGCAGCCTGTTCCAGTGTGTCCCACCACACTCATCATCAAAAATTTCTTCTGTGTGTTCAATCCAAATCTACCCTCTTTCAGTTTAAAACTATTGTCCTTTGTCCTGTCAGTACAGATCGTGTTGAAGTCTTATAGGCTCTGAAAGACCACAATAAGGTGTCTGTAGCCTTTGCTTCTTCAGTCTGAAAAATCCCAACTCTCTCAATCTGTCTTCATAGGAAAGGTGTTCGAGCCCTCTGACCATTTTTGTGGCCCTCCTCTGGACCTGCTCCAACAGATCCATATCTTGTACTGGGGCCTCCAGAGCTTGATGCAGTACTCAAGGTGGGGTCTCATGAGAGTGAAGAAGAGTTTTACCTCCCTTGACTTACTGGCCCTTCATGGAGTTCATAAGGGCCCACTCCTTAAGGCTGTCAACATTCTTCCCTCTAGCGAATCAACTGCACTACTCAGCTTGGTGTCATATGCAGAGTTGTTGAGCATGTACTCAAGCCCACTACCTATAGCACTGATACAGTACCTGTCCCAGTATGGACCCCTGAGGGACATGACTCATTACTGGTTTCTTTCACTTATTACTGGCTTTTGTTTGGACACTGAGCCATTGGCTGTAACTTTTTGGGTACAGCTATTCAGCCAGTTCCTCACCCATTTAACAATTTATCCATCAAATACATACTTCTTCAGTTTGGAGGTTAGAACATATCTCTATGATACCTCATAGTGAAGCCATGTTTGCTGTCTCTAATGACCTCCCTATCTTCCATATGTTTTGACCTAGCTTCTGGGAGTATCTGTTCAATGATCTTACTAGGCCCTCAGGTGAGACTGTCTGGTCTGCAGGTCACAGGGTCTTTATTATCCTTATAAAAATGTCTGTGATATTTCCTTTTATCCAGTTTCTGGGAACTTCACCTGAATTCAATGACTTTTCAAATATGATGAAGAATGGCTTAGCAACTGCATCTGCCAATTCCCTCAGGACCCTGGTATTCATCTCATTAGGCCCTATAGAATTGTGTGCATGTTCATATTCTTCAAATGGTCTCAAATCTGATCTTTTACAATGGAAGCGAGTTTGTATCCACAACCCCTGCCTTGAGGTTCAGAGACTTGAGAGATGTGGGAATGGTGATTACCAATGAAAACTGAGGAAAAAAATAAAAAATAAAAAACCTAAACAATCCCATAAGTTGAGTACCTCAACCTTTTCCATATCAGTTGTCACTAGTTCTCCTGTCATATTTATCTGTGGGGAGAGACACACATTGTCTTTAATCTTCCTTTTCTGAGGAAAAAAAAAAAAGGAAAAAAAATATCTTTACTGCACTTGTGTGACATGCATTTCCTACCCAGGTAGCTAGGATTCTGGGGATAGTTTTCATATGGAATACTTAGTCAGCTTTTCTTTGGCACTGGAGAAGAGAAAATATGTCAGAAATATACCCTGGTTTAATGAAAGAAGTCACCTCCTTCCTGAAGAATGCACATACTCACCAGATCTGGTCCTGATATGAGAGAAATGCTATTGATAGCAAAGTGTTCTCTCTGACAGAAGAGAAAAAAAAAAATAATTTAAAGAGTTAAGAGCCAAGTGGCCAAACACAGTTAACCAGGGAATGGGCACAAAGTTCTGTTATTAGGACAGCAAACCTACAGCACACGAAACAGAGAGGCAGGGAAGAAGTGGCTAAGCACTGCAGTGGCAACCGTAATGTGCATTTTTACTAGGGCAGTTACATGCAACTGATCATAACTATGCACTATGCAGACCCAGTACATACACCCTTGGTTTACTAGCACACACTGGTGCTAATGAAAAGAAAGAACAACAGAACCTTTTTTTTTTTTTTTCTTTGATGCAGGTCCCAACCTGTGCTTTGTTTATTTTTATTGTTTCATTGTTTGATAAGAACAATAATTCTCTTACTATTTTTTTACATTTTCTAGGTAGTAAAAAAGACATTTGTGGCAGGAAAACCTTGCTAAGTTAAAGGTTTCTAGGTGAAAAGTGATTCTGTACCTGAACTCAAGCTGGACCAAATCTGTACTGCCATGCAAGCAGCGGAGAACAGGCCTAGTAGTCATGATATTCATATTTGACTTGATATTCATAGTTGACTTGATACTCACAGTTGACTTGATATTCATGTTTGACTTGAAGGTTGTCCCCGCCTTCCTGTGTATACACTATAGCTGTCTCCCTGCTCAGCTCCTTCCTTTTGAGGTCCTGTAAACTTAGTCTTGAAATCTACGTATTTACATCTCTCTATTTACTCATCCCAGGATACTATGAAGGACTTTTTCTCTGCTTTATTCAGCTTAGGGAGCTCACTGCTACTGAGGATGTGCAACTGCATATCCCTATTTTAAACATCTCTTCACTTGAACTAGCATCATTCTGCCTTTTATCACAGACTAGCTTCTGATTTTCTTTAACAAATGCAGAAGCTTTTTTATAGCAGTAATGGAATAGTTTCACTTGAAATATAGCT